AAAATGCTTGATGACTTACCTCCTAAGCTGATTTTTGATTTTGCCTGAGCTTTTGAAATCCTGAATGAAAAACTTTTGCTACAAGAAACTGTTTGATAACTGAATAGAATCATAGAATAGTTAGGGTTGGAAAGGAACTTAAGATCATCTAGTTCCAATCCCCTGACATGGGCAGGGACACCTCGCTCTAAACCATATCACCCAAGGCCTCGTCCAGCCTGGCTTTGAACAATGCCAGGGATGGAGCATTCACAACCTCCCTGGGCAAACTATTCCAGTGCCTCACCACCCTAACAGGAAAGAATTTCCTCCTTATATCCAATCTAAACTTCCCCTGTTTAAGTTTGAACCCATTACCCCTTGTCCTATCACTACAGTCCCTAATGAAGAGTCTATCCCCAGCATCCCTGTGGGCCCCTTTCAGATACTGGAAGGCTGCTATGAGGTCTCCACGCAGCCTTCTCTTCTCCAGGCTGAACAGCCCCAACTTTCTCAGCCTATCTTCATATGGGAGGTGCTCCAGTCCCCTGATCATCCTCGTGGCCCTCCTCTGGACTTGTTCCAACAGTTCCATGTCCTTTTTATGTTGAGGACACCAGAACTGCACACAATACTCCAGGTGAGGTCTCACGAGAGCAAAGGGGAAGGATCACCTCCTTCGACCTGCTGGTCACACTCCTTTTGATGCAGCCCAGGATACAGTTGGCTTTCTGGGCTGCAAGCACACACTGGAGCCAGCTCATGTTCATTTTCTCATCGACCAGCACCCCCAAGTCCTTCTCTGCAGGGCTGCTCTGAATCTCTTCTCTGCCCAACCTGTAGCTGTGCCTGGGATTGCTCCAACCCAACTGTAGGACCTTGCACTTGTCGAGTTATAACACTATAATCTAAATATTGAACAATTCCACATAGCAAGTCTTATTTTGAAATGCATTTTTCTGCCTGCAGCATAAAATAGACATACTCTATTTAATGCTTACGGATCCCAAGGAATATGTGTAAAGTGTACAGATGTTGGATAAACCCCCTTTGATTATCCTTAAATTCCCCGATAGTTGTGAAAGACAGTTTTCTTTGTGGCTCAGGACAGCTATCTTTTCATCCTGATATGAAATTAAATAAAGTAATAATACTGAACATATTTTCTGTTCCAAAAATGGTAGTGTTTCTGCATCTGACATGATTCCTGTCTGTCATTAGCAAATGCTGTGAGATTATTCAGAATAAAAAGGGTTTATATCATTATGCAACGTTTACAAATATCGTACTGCACTTATGTCTCAACTGCCAACTTCTGCAGCTTACTTTACCTATATTCACAGTGTCCATTACAAATGGAATATCCTTTGTATTAGGAGACATATCTTTCATTGATACAAAAAATACATGTGTCTTTCTTTTTTCTGTTTGCAGGATAAGAGTACTAGTGTCATACAAAATCCAAGTTGATAAAAAAAACGAGTTGGAGATGTTGATTGGATGTTTGGAACTTATGAATATATGCATACTTGCATCCAAAGGCTTGAATTTATGCCTTATGGAGACCATATCATTGTAAATTCAATTTAGATACAGGCAGTATAACAAGTATGGCCAACTATAGTGCCTGTAGAATGTTTCTCTCCTGGGATGGGTCCAGATAACTTGCTTTCTTTTTGCTGGGGAATCCGTAGTTTAAACCTGTAATGATTTTCTTGCTTTTATGAAACCTTTCCCCTGTACCTTTTTCAGCAATAGCCTTGAAAAGAAATAACAAGGACATACTTAAACATCTAAGCATTAAGCAATAATGCTGGCTTATCTGTTTATGCACAATATTGGTCTGAATGCTGAATGAACTGGTCATTAATTCAGAGGGTAAAAGCCAGCAGAATAATTCAGCATGCATGCATAGGTTTTAGATTTAGACTGCAAGTGTTCTGGAGAGGGTCTGCATTTTGGTCTATTCTGTCAGTTACAGAAAACCATTGCAGTGGGAAAAGACTCTCAGTTAATATGATATTGAGAACACAGATTCTGCATTCAGTAGCAATCCACTGATTTTATATGGCTTTGAGTAGTGGGCATTGCCCATAAAAACAATTACACCCTCAGTGACCTGCTGGGTAGTTTTTCACTGTTGCAGTGTTACAATTCATTGGAATATGAGATCTGGATTAATGGGTTTCATTACTTCCTTTATGATATTTGTTCTAACATTGCTTAGGTTAGTACAAGTGTAATGAGCTCTAAATTAGTTCATTATGTAAATATGTGCCACATTTTTTAACAAATTCATGCAACTGCTTCCTACCTTCACACTGTCAGAGGTGCCTGCACAGTGCTGCCTCTGAGACCTTGCTCTCCCAGTGCTCCACTGGTTACATGTGCTTCTGTCAGACATCTATCCCTAATGGGAGCTTACTTCTGGAGCAATTTTAGATTTCCTTTTATTTTTAAAGGATTAGGTAAGGATGGGTCAGGTGATTTCTTGTCTTGCTTGTCTTTGAGCACCTAGGGAAGAAAGAAGGGCTATCTGTGTGTAGGTTTTATGTTTCAAAATTTCAGTTTTAGATGTAAGGTAAAACTGGAACCTGTGGGCACCTTGTTCAAACCCCTGGTTTTGAACTTTGATCAATACTTTATACTGACCTCAACTGTTATTTATATTTGAGTGCATCTAAAAATAGTTTGAATATGACATTTCTCTTAAGTTTCAATATTATGCAACCAGCTCAGAATAATTTCTTATTGTAAAACTTGAAACTTGGATCTCAGGTGACATTGAAACTGAACCTAACCTAAACTACATCCAGATATCTGTGTATCTGTGCCAATCTATTTTTGTATGTTATCAAACAAAATCTCTTGACATGTTGAAATCTTATGTGATTTGGGCTTTTTTTCAGAATTTGTTCATATTGGAAATATGAAATGGGACCTATCAGCTATTACAGATCTCTTTCATTACTTCAGCAATGGCTTTCATTTTCAGAGCTGTCTCTCTCTCCCATGTATGAGACATCCATGTTAACAATGACTGTTTGTGGAACACAGGTTTATTACAAAAGGACATTGTGCTTATTTTAACAAAAAATATTTTTATTTTTATTTTTGTGTTCTGGCCAAGGATGCTTGGTGCCTCAGTGTAGGGTAGGTTAATGTAAAATAAATCCTTTGTATTTAGGTGACATATTTGGCTGTGGCTCTATCCGAAAATAACAGGAGCTGCTTTCGTCAAACATATGTTTCTAGCTCTGTCTAGAAAAATGTTTACTACATAAAAACATCCTCAAATTTGAGGGCATTTTTGTTTTTTCAATGGGAAAAGATTAACTAAATGTGGAACTCCAGACACTCTAGTGGGATAATACAGGAAGTTTCTATTGCTGGACATACTGATGGGCTGAGGACTTAAATCCTCTGAGCAATCAATCCAATGGCTTTTATGAATGCTTAGGGAAAAAAAGGAAATATATTGCTGGAAAAGAGAAATAAACTTTTTTGCAGGATACGTGATGGCCAAATTCAAAAGAAGATATATGTATGGTAAAGTCTAATGTATCATTGCAACTGTCTGAGCAGGACAAGTGAAAGCAAAACAAAACCAGAAAATAATATTTTTCTTATAACAAATGGATTTTGAGGGAAAACCTAAATGAGGAGAGAAAACATATTCTGACTGTTCTTCTGCTGAAAATAGGAATTTTACTGAATACATTCATAATTAATTTTAGTGTTAATTCAGCAGGTCTAGTATGCGATACATCCTTCCTTGGGAGAAGCACTGTCCATTACGTGTGCTGATTTATGAGAGAGAATCAGCTACATTTTAATAATAACTGGACTAGACTGTAAATATAGACTAGGACTCAGAATATATGAGAAAAGCTCATTTGTTCTTAATATCCTAGATAAATTGTTCCTGGCTTTGTAAGTTGTGACTATACTTGCAGTCACACTCCCAGGTTTACTCATGAGATGCATGATTCTCTGAATATGTACTAGTCATGTGGAGGAAAACATGAGGGGATGAGTTTTATATATCTGGTTTATTCCTCAACGTCATATTGACACAAAAAAAAACCAACCCTTTTTTGTCCTTTTATTCTCCCTTTCATCAAAAGAAAACGCCCTCTTAACCAAAGGCAACTCATAGCAGTGGGTAAAATGACTACCAATAATCTGAGCAATATGAAATTTAACACTGATTTTTATTTTTTTTTTAGTGAAAGAAAACACCAGTTTCTGGCTGTCAGAAATTCTAAACTGAACCTTAACTTCATGGGCAACAGCTTTAAAATCTATTTAATACTTCTTATTTCTTCAGCTAAGCAGTTTCTTTCTCCAGTTAATAATAGGCTGTGGGATTAAATTGTAGCTTTTGATATTTACTGCGAAACGTAGTATAGAGATTTATAAGTCAAAATGTACTTTGAATAAATTATCATTGCAAATTACAGTTTATGAAAGTTGTGATTGTAACCATAATTACACCATTGGTTATGCACAACTTGAAATCTCACTTGCTGAATAAATTTGGTTTCAGTCAGATTACATTCCCAACTTTTTTAGAAAAGAGTGAATCAAACCTCACCGACAAAATTTCCTGCAGTTTGTTAAAAAGGTCAGCTTCGATTGCTAAACTTACCTAAAATATAAACATCTCTTGAATTAGTGAGATGCTGTTTTAGTCTGTTATAAGTTTCCTATTCGAGTTTACTAAACCATGGACTCATAAGGGAACTCAAAAGGGCTTCCACATTATGCCATGCCTTCAGCTATCTACACATCGTAAAATTGTTAAAGTAAAAATTAATTTTGCAAGCTGTTAGGAAAAAAAAAGACGATAGCCAAAATTAGGTATATTACTGTAAACTGAGGGGGGAGAGGTTTTTAAACCTCTGTCTGGCAAGAGAAGGGTTAAGGACTTTTTTGCTATACCCGTTTCAAATTACAATGAGAAGCCTCTTCTTTCCCAGCAGGGTTGTGCTTACATTAGTCTTTAGATCTCTCTTGAAGAGAGCTGTTATATTTGTGCCTGCTAGAGTTGGAAATAACAGTTCAGAAGCTGAAAAGGGTTGAATGGATTTACAGAAGGTTATTTTTTGCGAGTAAATTCATGGCAACACATTAATTTGATTAGTACATGCTTTAGAATTACTTTACACTCAAGCGATTCAAAAGATGTTAAAGTTATCACCAGGCTGCTGGACAAATATGTGTTACATCACCAAGGTACAGATCAAGACAAATCTGTGACTCAGGATTTTATCTTGGGAAGAGCGCAAGGTGTACGAAGAACTCAGAATAACAAGGGAAGATAACTCTGGGAACTACAATGTGTCAGAAGAACAGCTCTTGCTAACACAGCTCCCCATCAAAGACCTGGTTATCTAAGGTTTATATAGGAATGCCTAGGTCAGCTGACAAAATACTGGTCTTCTGCTCCATAAATGCAGAAAAAACGATAACAACAGTGGAAAATTGGAAGTCTGAATTTCAGCTTTCTTAGAAATAACTGCAACCTGACACATTCCATAATATTTAAACAGGGTGGGGGGAGAGAAATCACCAAAGATGTTACGTTTAGAGATGACATTGACATGAAGAATAGGTAAATTTTGTTTTTCAGCCACTGGAAAAGCAGACCTCATAGGAACTCAGAACAAGTAGGAGAAAAGATTTTTTTTTATTATTTTTTTTTCCTTTTTCTTTTCCTTTTCAAAGATGAACACAACTGTGCTCAAAGCTTTCGTGGGCTTGCTCTGGAATTGCTGGGTTCTGGTGGGTCATGCACAGGGAGGTTTAGGAGACAATCATGTCCATTCAAGCTTTATTTACAGGAGGCTGCGGAATCATGAGAGAAGGGAGATTCAGAGAGAGATTCTCTCTATCCTGGGTTTACCTCACAGACCCAGACCATTTTCACCAGGAAAGCAGGCTTCTTCTGCACCCCTCTTTATGCTGGACCTGTATAATGCTATGACAAATGAAGAGGATACTGAGGAGCTGGAGTATTCACTAAAGGGATCAATGGCAGGGGACAGCAGAGGGATACGGAAAGGATACCCTGCCTCCCCAAATGGATATTCGCGGAGAATGCAATTATCTCGCATGACCCCCCTGAGCACACAGAATCCTCCCTTAGCCAGCCTGCACGACACCAACTTTCTGAATGATGCTGACATGGTCATGAGCTTTGTCAATTTAGGTATGTGGAAATTTTTTTTGTTTCTGTTCTTTCTAACAGACTGTTAGCCTTGTCCTGCTAGGGGCAAACCTCTTGGCTGGACCGTAACCTGCTGTAAAATGTCAGGTCCCAGCTGCTGTGCCACCGGTAAAAGAAAAGTACTGAGGTAAAGTAGCTACGTTGTAGGTGGCCATGGAAAAAGATTTTTCTCAGTGTTTATATAAAGTCAGTTTCTATAACTCCCCTCTGCTGGCTTCTGTTTTCTTTCTTTCATTGATGTAATGAAAATTCTAGCCTTAGGCCAACTAACTCCTTTTCCTTTTTTTTTTTCTTTAAATCTCAAAAATCAAACACTTATGTCTATTGCTTGGCTATTTCCTTCACTGTTTTGCTTAAAGCTCAGACATGAACAAAAGTCGGTTGTTAACATTTTAAAGCTTAGAAACTTATGAAAAGGGAAAAGTTAAAGCATTAAAAAAAAAAGAAAGATTTCTTAGGTTATTTAGTTGTTGGTTTTTTCTGTTGGTGTCAGAATTTTATTTATCTTTTCAGCTGGATGGCTGGATTTTAAATAATCTGCTGCTGTTTCTTTGTTATTTCTATTTAATAACCACAGACTGTGTTTTATTATACTGCTGTGGTGCTTAGAGTCTGCAATGGTTCTTATTTTCTGTGTCATAAATAAATTAAATAACAAGTAGAGTATTAAACACCAGAAACATGCAAGAAAAGAATGCTTTTGAAAATGATATCAGTTCAGACACTGATAAAACTAGATTATATTGGCTTCTGAGTATAATAAACATGCTTACCAGTTATGTTGTGGTTAAAAAAGCAGTAACAGATTTCTTTACTAGAAGGCAAGTTAAATCTCATTAAGAAAGCTGCAAATAATTTATGAAATTTATTCATTATTTTTATAAGTATTTAAATTCTACAGGACTCATAAAGTCCGCTAACCCCCCCCTTCTTGTGTGACCTGAAAAGCAAGAGATTTAATTGAAAACTTGGAGTTTCTCAATAAGCTGGTAAAAAATCTGATGAACTCTCATTTTCAAGGATTATACTTTCTGTAGAAACTTTTTAAACAATGGCACATGTTCTGAAATACTTTCAGATTATCAGACATTTTGTACCTTTTATATCAACCAGGTCTTTAATCTTTTGCTGCAGGATTAAAAATGTTTCCAAACACTAAAATCCTTAACAACTAGAATTTCTAGGAAAATGATACCCTAGTGTTTCTACAGTTTATTTGTCGTAATGATATAATTACTTTTCATTAATTATTTGGCAGATAAGTAGATGTTCAATTCTGAGATCTTTTTCTGTAAAAGTAGCATATGTCCACAACTCTAAATACATTTTCTTGTTGCTCTTGCTCCTGAAATAGCAGACTAGAGAAAAATTAAATCTTTGGCTTTTGAGTCCTTAAGAAAAAGTTACATATTATCCATGTATTACTTTTAAATTATCATTATATGCCTTGATTTACCCATCATACTTGGAGTCTGCTGAATTTGAAATGGTAATAAAGGAAAATAAGAAATGGTCTGATCTCAGCGTTAGTCAAGGCTCTGATCCCACAAAGATTTTCCTCATGTGTCCTGAGAAATACCTTCAGTAAATATGCTGCAGACCATTTCATCAGTGACCCTGAGGACTATTTACATGGAATCTAGGTTTTGATTTCATGAAATGTCTTTGATTTCAAGGGGACTAACAGTGTATAAGTAGAAGTCTTTGAAGGTTCAGTGTCAGATATATCGTAGCCTGATCTTGCCACACTTCCCCAGACAAAAACCCTGTCTTAGAAGAACACAAGTTTCCACTGAGTGTCTTTCCTTGACTTGGAAGTTTCTAATATTTGTCTTATTTTGTTGAGAAGCCAGTGTTTCCTTAAGAAAGTAATTCTGAGCATATATTATACTTGTAAACTGTGAAAACTGGAGGATAAATATTTTATTTTTCTATTGATTATGATTAATAGGCACCATTAACTTACAAAAAAAAAAATACTGTGTAAATGCCAGGTTTCGTTTGGCCTTTGTAAAATTAAAATGTGTCTCAGCTCTAAGTGAATCTAAATCCTAAATGCCCTTGTCACTTTAAATGCCCTTCCATACATGTTGGATATTGTGGTTTATCACACATTCCACCACGTAATGTGCGTAAGAAATATTGATGACCAATATAGATTAGCTTCAACATTTTTATTAAACAATCCTATGTTTCAGTATAATTAACATAAAAATGAAATAAATCATGGAAACGGGTAACCATTCTATGTGATTTATGCAGTATAATATCATGACAGATGAGGGCAAGCTCTTTTAATGTACAATGGGGAAAAATATGCAGTGATAAGTGAATGCTAACACTGTACCTTAAAATCAATAAATGCTGATGCAGCACTGTAATAACTCAACTGGGTTTAGATTAGAAACCTCAGTCAACTTGTATCAAATTAATCTGCTCTGGAAATAGTATTCACCTTGTTCATACTTGCACACCATTAATTACAAAAGGTGCAATTATAAAGCTTTATTAATCATCATGATATTTTAAATTGAAACTTTTGTATATAGTTGTAGCCAGATATAATAATTCAAAACATGTATATTAAAACAAGAAATATGTAGCTGCAATATTAGGTTAGAATTATTAAGTCTAAGATTGAAAAGGTTGAATAGGATTAAAAAAAGAAAGTAAAATACAGACAAGGACAAATTATTTTATATTAAAGAATAAAAAATGAAAATTATATGCTTATTTTGATAAAAATCACCCTGTCAGAGATGAAAATGCTTCGCTTTCCATAACAAATTTAAAAAATAATCATCAAGGGAAACACAATTGTAATTCTGTCAAGCAAGCAGGGAGAGAAACAAGACAAACAGCATTTTCTTCTGCTGAAGTTAAAATTGTAAACACCTGCTCTTTATATTGGAATTTATACCAGAATTTCTATCTCTTTTCTTTCTTGAAAGATACAACACAACAGAGTCTATGTCTTGTCCTGTATTTTGTATAAGACTGTGTGTGTTGGCAGCTCTCCATAAATATTGATGAGTGTAACAGAAGAATTAACTGGGGTTGGTCCAGCAGTTAAAGAATAAATCCTCCACTAAATACACTGGGGTTTTCAGAGATCTGATTATATCACCTACAAGTTCAGTACTTTGTTTTCCTCACTGGCTGTTTTTTTATCCTGTTGTTATATTTTATTATATTGTTGCAAAGCCCTGACTGTTTTGAGTTTTGGCATCTTCTTTTTGGCCGGTCTCCCAAAATGACATATATAGGATACCCTGTTCCTCAGAGAACAGACAAATAATACTCATGTAGTTCTACTCACTTTTCTGCTCAGTCAAAATTTGGTTAGGGAAGGACTTTGTTAAGATAAATGTTAGTGTTCCCACTCTTCACCTCTCACCAAAAGAGGAAGATTGAATAAAAAAATTTGTATGTGACTGAGGCTTGGAGAAACAGCAGCACTCTTTATAAACTACATTTAAACATCTCGAAGACTGAATTTTCCATCAGCATTAAAGTGATCATTAAATTCACTGTACTTAAGCATTCCTCATCATGGAATTCAAATGATTTCTACTTTAATTTGTTTACAATGCATCTGTAATTTTTTCTGTAAACAGAGAGCTGCATTTGCTAAGCAACTCTGTTCTCTTTCTCTGTATTTCTATGGATTGATATGAAGTTTTTGTAACATAGTCAATATGTTCATTTTGTGGTTTTATGCTGTGTTTACTTTTTCAGCATACAAAATTAATTTCAAAAACTTAAATGTGAAGATCACTATAAAATTTATTACCCTGACCTATACACAGGGTTATTTAAAGAAGAAAAAATATTACAGAGATATTTAAAATAACTGATACACCCCAGAAAGACTTTTCTTTTTTTCTGTTTTTTACTTCATAAACAATGTGATTCCACAATCTGAATTACAATAATCCTTAAACCACATGTGCTGTGATCAGTTCTTAAATCAGATGCTGAAAGATGTTGAAATCAAAGGAAATGTTGCCTGTTTGAGACAGACTGTTCATATTTCTGCATCTTTACTCAAAGTTTGTACACAGTCTTGAAGATTATGTTCTTCTTTGAAACCAAGCAAGTACATACAAGATTTACAGCCCATTGTATCCATCAGAGAATGTTAACATGGCAGGCAACTTTTAAACAATTACTTTAAGAAACCTAGAGTACTTCAGTCCACATCAAATACCTTTACAAATATTTGTTACACAAAAACGAAAGAATTCATAACTGCAATCAAATCTTGAGCATATATAGTAGCTAGTTTCTTAAATTAATCTAATTCGTCTCCTACAGCCTTCCACTCCCAGCTAACATATCATCAGCAAGGGATATGGAGTGCCAAGATTTAAAATGCCAGGATCTGTGGAAGGGCAGCTGGGTTTGAAGGGTACACTCAAAAAAAGCTTCAGGATCATTAACTTCTCTCCTCTAATCCTAGGAATGAACACACTTTCTTTCTTTCCACTGGATTTCAGATGTTGCTGTCTTAATTTTAACCTTACGTGAATTTCCTTGGCTGTGGTTCAGTTCTAGTGCGTAAAATGCAGGCTTCTAGTAAAAATATTGACACAGCCTTAACTGAGGTGACAGAAATAGTGCTATTATCTTGCCTTGAACAGGGCGATGCTATTACAGAAATAAAACTTGCTAAATAACAAATAGACCCCATGTCTTTAAATTGTGGAAGTGGATCAATACTGAGAGAAAACGAGAAAACATCTGCGAAGTTTTTTCGAATGGCAACCCAAAGTCAGTAAGATAACATTTTTCACTCTTTTACACAAAATTTAAAACAAATTAGATCAAGGGGTCTCATTTTATCTTCACCCAAAATACACCACACTTGGCATGTTGAAATCCCAAGAATTTTTTTCCCTCATAAGATTTTCTTAGCTAATGAGTTGAGCTAATATTTTGTGACCTAAGTATGCATCAGAAATAACTATTATAAAATAAAA